ACCTGATGGACTTAGAGTGCAATACCAATGAGTCGCCTACGTCGCCTCGATATCCATCGATCGTCACCCGATAGTTATCACCCTCGTCGGCCCCAGAAAAAGTCGTGTACTCGGCAAATGCTCGGTCACCGTCGTAATCCTCCATATCAATGCGAATCGTCATGTCGGCAGATTGAGTCAGACGGTAAAGATAATGGTTCCCAAGCCAAAACTCTCCCTTCAGATTTCCAAAGCCTTTTTGTAGGATTCCCAGTCAACATAAAAGTCTACAGAGCCATCCATGCGCCTTTGAAAGGTGGTCCAGCCTCCGCCCTCAGTTTTCATGTCACACACTAGTTGGAAGGTTTCTTCTTCATCAGGGTAAATCCAGTACACACCGTCAGTAAGGAAGCCATTTTGATAATAGTCATGACAGTTCTTGGAGCAATCTATGAAGTAAAAAACCCGAGAAAAGTACCCACTAAGAATATCAAGTTATCTTCTGTTATGAAATTAAAAATTAATGGCGTCATAATTCATCACCTTGTGTGCACAAAAATAGGAAAACGCATATATCACTTTATGAATCGTCTGGCCACGAGCGTGCAATCGCAATGAAACCTTTAACGAAACCGGATGTGTATAGGGTCAAACGGTTTGACGTAAACCGATTCGGACTAAGCCGTCTAGCCCTGCACTCGGACGACTTTTTCGCAAAACATACTGTGATTTTTTTTTTAAATATATAATTGTTCCTGAAAAATGGGATTTTTTTCTTAAGACTTAAAACTAGAAGACAGCAAAAATACGAAAATGAGTCCAGTTTCTTGTTCTTACCAGAAGAAAGGAGAACATCTTGACTGAATTTTTTTGTGGTTGTTCTCTTGTGATTCTTTATCGGGTCCTATTGAAGCTGAGCCAAAAGTTTTGAAAGTTAAAAGAATTGTTAACAAATGCTAAAGAGCTTATTTACTGACCAGGGCCAAACGGGGAGACATTCAGCTTGTGGTCAGGACGTAGAGGCCTTGCTGCGCTGAGTCTATATATAATGACCCTGAGTTAAATATTTTCACCCTACTGCCTCCCACTCTGATAATCGACTACCAAAGTTCTTAATGTCAGCTGGACGTTGCTATCTCATATTTGAAGTCGCAGTTAATAGCACATCTCTTGATTAAGAGCATCCTGTATATCTCTTTCTTAAACTGATTTTTCTCTTCACCATTTCCCTTATTTACTTCTCAGGGTAATTATGATCCTTCATAATGAATCCTTCCTTGGCTCTTTCACTACAAAATTCTGTTGGGTTTCTACTTACCCTTGATACACTTGCAGAAGTGACTGTTTGATTTCTGGTCAACAACACATCTTTCATTCTCTTTACAAGGATCACTTTCTTCGCAGGTGCTCTAAATTAAGGAAACAAGTTTTATCAATCCATATAAAGTCCAACCCCTATTAAACAGCCACCCCTATTAAGCGGCCACTCCTTAATTATTAAGCGGCCAGTTATTAAAGTCACGAGATTATTTTCAGTTAAATACTATAAATGAAACCCCGATTAAACGGCCACCCCTATTAAGCGACTGCGGCCACCTTGTGGTCGTCCCGATGGAGGTTTTTATTGTTTTTTATCCCTGTTAAGCGGCCACCCAAAATTAAATACGCGTCCTTTGGATTTGTTTGTGATAAGGCGATGATAGATAAGAATCCGAAATAGACAGCAACGACTGCCAAATACATCTTAACACACGTTTATTGAACCTTCGAGCTCCAAAGCGACAAACGAGTCTCCAGGATTGTTTCAAGTAACGATCTTTTGCTTTTGCGACATGTATGATAGTTTTGTCAATATCGAGAATTTTATATGTGTTATTTGGTTCTTTTTGAGACCTCATCGTCAGCTTTCCTTAAAATTGAACTTATGCAATTAATCACTGAATTAATATTACCTTGTCGTTACATGTCGCTAACTTTTCAATGTAACTGATTCATGTTGTGACCTTATCTCAGCATTTACTTAAAATTGGTTTTGTGCGATTTTAAAAGGCTTTATTGCGTCCAGCAGAGCTTAAAAGCCTTTAAGCATGCTTGTATTTGAATACATGGACGTTTCACGTAAGTTTCAGACCAATTCCTGACGAACCCCTAGCGGCCAACCCTATTAAGCGGTAACTTTCCATTTCCGCTTAATAGGGGTTCGACTGTATTTCCAAATATTGAAAGTAGACTCTTTTCAATTTAAGGTGAGATCCAAAGTGCTATGTCAACTTCTTTCGCATTCCTTAAAACTTCATTTCGTCCCGCCAAATCTTCTGTTGGAAATTCGACATTTTTCTCAATTTATTAAAGTCATTTCATGGTAAAGGATTCTTGTGTATTTTCTCCTTTCTTCTGTACTATGAACTCATATCAGTTTTACGACAGGTGCTCTCAGGGACTAATCCCTTAGAAAAGATATTGGTTTCTATGGAAACTGCTATGATGCTTAAGTAAGCAGTTCAAAACACGCAGTTCATCGTCAACCTGTAGTTGAAAACTTTAAAAAAAGACTGACGGCTCCAGCGTTCTATCGAAGTTTACACATCTTGGTGATCTGAACCAGAGGCGTGCATTATCTAAAAAAGTTTTCTACCCATTTTTTTCAAGAAATAATCCCATTAATTTTGATTTGTAAAGAATTCTGTGCTTATTGAAATTTCAATCAACCAGCGAAAATGTGAAAGGCCGCTTCTAGGAAAAGAGGATGAAACTTGTTACTAAATTATGCCTACGACTTATTACGAACCGGCAGACATTCAATTTGTAACAAATAAAATGTCTTTACAAATTCTAAGCTTTATAGCCCTGTAACATTAACACGAAGCAATATTACCACCTGTATTCCTCTATACAATGCCCCATCTTCTTTTGTAAATTTCTCTCGACCAACAAATCGGTCAGAGTCACTTAGTTGACATCTGCTCGTCTCCTTGCCATGGATGGGAAGGAAGTTGTATGACAAATATCGGTCTTCAGAGGTACATTCAAACTGACAAGAGATCTCAGATAGCACTTCAAACTCTCTTAAGATTCTCCCGTTGAGTTTTCTATCTTCTATCGCCTTTGCGAAGTTAGCAGCCCTAAGATCAGGCTCCAAAAAGCGATTTGAACCTTGCGCGAGACCTTCGAGTGGGAACACCACAAACGCCCATAGGTACATGTTTAGTTGTTTCAGTTTTTATGCGGTCTTTGACTCAACTCGCAATCGTTGAATTTACCATCTCCTCAATTTAATGTTATTAGAACTTTCCTTTTCATTATACTTTAATTAAAATTAGGTTTATCCTCTTGGGGCGATCCTTTTGAATAATACATCAGGTTCGTCCTTAAAACACCAAGCAACATTTGTGACGTTAGTATTGTTTTGATATCCTTTTAACTTGGGTCAAACAACTTATTCAAAGGTGGCTACTAAAGCATTCAATTCCCAACTAATCAAAACAATTTCTGTCTAAGAAACTAACGCACTTTTCTCTAAAGAAAGGCAACAAAACAGCGTCGGTCATAAAATTAAGATCGGCCTGTCAGTTGTGTCACGTCAGTCACATCCAGTTCAGACCTCCTCAGTCCTGTCGTGTTGAAGTCAATGACCCCTATGGTAGCAAACCTCTAGTGAATTGATCGGACGATAAACAAGACAATGAAATACAGCGACTTGAAATTGGTGACAGAACAAGCCGAATTAGCATTATTCTATAAGAAAATTCATAGCCTGACGAGGGAATTCCGCATTAAATTGCACGCGAAAACCGATATCGCACGAATTGCGTAGCGATGAGTGCGATATCGGTTTTCTAAGGCAATTTAACGCGCAATTCACGAGTCAAGTAGTGGATTTTCCTTGAGTCGCATAACAGAATAAGAATAAGAAAAAAAAGAAAAAAGCATTACTTATAGTTGTTATGCATACGTAAATATGAAACAGTATCACTCAGCCTCGTTTTCAATTCGTAATTCCACGCTAAATGCCTCGCTTTGTTGTTTAACCAATCAGAATGCGAAATTTTATTCACCGATGCGATTCTATTAAATAAAGGCAAAAACACGGTGGGAAAAGTATCAGGGAATTAATTTCAGGAGTTGTCTTACAGTTTGTTGAGTAATTCGCCAATGGTGGATTCGTCGAGCAAAGACTTTAAGGTGATCCAAGGGATAAAAAAGATCCTTTAAACATTCATTCGATATCCAGTTATGATTCCCTCAAACTGATTATGAGAATCGAATTTTATCAGAAGGTTTACGATAAGAATGCACAGATGCTATGTTACAATAACCCAGTATTAATGTGTCCCATTCAATGTGTACCTTAGATTGAAATGTTACATATTAGGCACATAAAATCGCCCTGTCCCTACTGTATCACAGATGAGGAACTTTTGTATCTTTAATTTGGCACACTCTGTCTTCGTTATGGCTAACTCGCATATACGCCATTATACAATCATCAGAAGCTTAGTCAAGAATTTCTTCTCGCATTGAAGATATCTTCAACTCTGAAGAGATACAGTTTGCGAAACTTTTACAGACGCAGCTCCCGTTATCCTGTAGTCAAAGTTTAATGTATTTTACGTGGGGCATGGTTACCCTTGAATTAATGCAAACAAAATTTGGTCAGGTGAAAGGGATGGCTCCAACACTACCGTGAATACCAATTCACAAGATAGAAATCATAGGATATAAAAATATTAACTGCCATCTATTTTTAATTCGAGTACATTATCGGTGCCATATGCACAAGATTAAATTCTCACTCAAAACCAAAGGTCTTTTTTTCTCTTCCTCAAGTTCAAGCAACATGGCAATATATCACTGTGCGGTTTATTGACGCGCGACTACTACACAAATTAGGAAATGAATTTGTTCACCACGGGAATGGCAGGAGAAAGAAACAGAACTTTCGCCCCAATTGACACCTAACCCCTTTGTACCCACCATCCCACCATCCCACCCCGGGGAGCACATCCACTACACAGTAATCTCGTGCCTGGGAAATTAACATCTCCTACCCCTAACCCTGCAGGCGACGGGACCTACGGTTTTATTCGTCCTTATCCGAGAAGGTTAGAATATCTATTCATTTCTTGATATTATAGAAAGGTAGCAAATTCTCCTCAGTTATTTTAAGACCATGAATATTGGTCCAGCTGGGGCTCGAACCCATGACCGCACAACACAAAACTTGATTGTCTAGAGATGCATGGGTATCCTTCATCGTCAGGGAGTTTTTGTCATTTATCCCGCACAACGCAATCCCGCGCTCTAATCAATTGAGCTAACCAGGTGCGGTTAAATGTAAAGCCGCTAAAGTATTGCGTTCTTCCTCTATTTGACAAATTTTTGGTGCTAACAACGGTAGCAGGTTTTTAGAACTAGACACCTTCCTTTATCTCATGGGAAGAACTTGTTTTACTTTGAGGGCGCGAACTTGCGACAAGGCAAAACTTTCATATATCGACGATTCACTACGATTAGGATAACACCAAAATGTTCATATAGAATTTTTTTGGAAAATAGAACAAGGTTTCTTTTCCGCATTGTATGTATCAGATTACTAGCTCTTCGTTTTAAAAATGTAAACCGTTCAATTTTTTACTCTTTTTTTTTTTTGTTTTTTGTTTTGTTTTTGTTTTTTATTAGGGCTCTTTTAGATTTCTTTCCCCGACGCAAACTTCAGAAAATTTCTCTTTAGATTGTCGCAAGATCTTTGGATTCTTAAATCCTTTAGCGACATACGTTAAGTAGAACAAGGTTGTTGCATCAGAGTTGGGAAACATTGTAAAGAGATCCAGCGACGATTTCAGGTGATAATATTCAAACATTGAGTCAAACATTGCTTATACGCTAAGACAGGTCTAAGTTACCTCTATTCCTCTGTATATGAAATTTTTATCCTCAGTGAAGTTAGCAAATGCAGCAAATCGGTCTGAGGCGCTTAGCTGACACTTGAATTTCTCAGTGTTGCCCTTAATGGTTCCAAAGTTGTAAGACTGACATCGCTCCTCATCCACACACTCAAGCTGACAGGAACTTTCCGAATCCACTTCGATTTCTCTTATCAGGCTTCCATTCAGCTTTTGTCCCTCTATCTTGCCGGCAAAGTTAACAGCTCTCAGATCTGGCTCTGAAATGCGGCCAATGCCGTACACAACGGCGAAAAGAAGAAATATTATACAGAGACGCATGGGTATCCTTCACCGTCAGGGAGTTTACGATAAAGAAGAATAAAGGTTTGTTTCATTTCTATTGCATCAGTAGGCAGGTGCAAGGAAATCGGCAGATTGAAAACAATATAAGCTATTCGATATGCTTCTAAGGTGACTTTGAGCCTATCCCTGTTGTTATACTTTTACAAATTTCATTAGGTCGCGGTATTTTCGCTTTTTTTTTTTTCACCGATTATACCATTAACCACCTCTGAATTCCAATGCACCGGGTTATGAAATACAACTCCTAACATCACAGAAATATCAACAAGACAATTGAGAAACAAAAGCGCAAGCACCGAGGAACTCAAAGATAGCATCTTCGTGGACCGTACGCAAAATGAGGCTCACTATTTACTGATAACTTTCCCTCCTTTAATGTGACAACTCAAAAGACACAATCAGGCACGGTAAGGCCGAACATATGTCACCACTGTAGGTAAAACGTGTCACCATTGTAGGTAAAACTCGTCACTAAAATGCGTAAGGAAACATTAACAAGCGATCCAACTTGCCTTAACCAGAAATTAAGTTGAAACCAGTGCGAATAATGAAAAACAAAAAAAACAAAAACAAAATGCCGTGGAGTCATATGAAAATAGTAAAGAAAATAAAGATAATTGTACTTTTAGGTTACCTTAAAAATAATGAACTAAAGGGAGCCGTGTTCATTTCGGAGACATCCATGTTTAAATCGGAGACAGTCAATTATTCCTTACAACTTTTCTTTTATGATAAATAGTAATGAAGTTGACTTTGTCTAACCCTATCAAATTTTAAAATACAGCGAGAACGTTCTCTGGCCAAAAGTTTTAGAAAACATAAGCTTCGGCTGTCGATCTACAGCCTTCCCGGCATCCGTCGACACGAGGCTGTAGATCGACAACCGAAAGCTTATGTTTTCTAAAACTTTTCGCCAGAGAACGTTCTCGCTGTATTTTAATATGTCTCATCCTGGCTACGCTTCAAATTTTAATCCTATCATATTTCCTTAAACAACTGCAGTTTTTTCAAAATCTCGAGATTAAGAGTGCGTGTCTCTTTCATTTGAAATGATTCATTAAATATTTCAAGCAACTCTAAGTTTTAATACGCGATATCACTCGGTCGGGATAAATGTGGAAGGAAACAGAAACAGAAGTATAAAGTTGGGCCTGAGCTAACAAATGAGTATTTTTGTTTAATGACAAACATGGAAAGGAAAACAACATCAAGTTGAGAGTTTGCATTTCTAAAACATATCAGAGGGGTTGAGGCACCGAGAATCTTAAAATCAGGGGGTATTTCACAATAAGAAGATATAGGTTAATGGCAAACACAATAAGAATCCGTACATCTGCATCTTTAAAAACACTTATTCTAGGCAGTTACACCGAGATTATAATAATTCTCTCTAATGATCGACAACTAATCAAGGTTATTAACTAGTTATTTTTACTAATACAACAACTATCGCTAGTTGTGGTAGCATAGAACAATTGATTAACTCCCATCACCTTACAAAAACTTGAGAGCGCCTTTTCTTATCTTCAGCTACAGTTCTTTTTCCTATCTCACCAGATTGGTTTGTTCAGATAACAGTAGCCCGCGATACACTTGGTACCAAGAGCGCGGCTATCGTCAAAAGTGAGGTAGTTGTTTGTGCCGTCAACCACGTGCCACATGTCAATCCACTTATCTGTGCCAGCATGGCTTTCAGATATCCCGTTGTTTGAATCGAAGTGGAAACCTGATATTGAAGCAAAACCAGAAGAGGGATTCCTCTTGTTTTGATCTGCTGGGCTGTATTTGTAAAAACCGTGGATGTTCCTCACCTCATCGTAAGTTGTCCCCATCAAGAACTTCTCGAAGTCTGTTTTGTCCCTATTTGGAGCGCCTGCCTTCCTGTTGTAAATAACCCGGATTGTATTGACGTCACTGAACCGGAACATGACTTCTTCCCAGTCCCCCATGTCAGGGTGGATGTGACTCGATTCATCTGCATCCGTGGTTTCTGCAGCTGATGCTAGGAAGGTTGTTTTGATAAGGAGGAACCTTGGAGACACTTTGGTGGAAATTAATGTCCAGCCTCCACCATTGGTCTCCATGTCACAAAAAGCTTGGAAAGAGTCACTTGTTGAACCACCGTTTGGATCGATCCAATAAAGTCCACTACCGTGACTTTGACCTGAAATAATGAAAAGTAATCTGAATTACTTTTAAAATAGGACCAAAATTAC